ATGCTGGCGGTGTGGTGTAATAGAGCGGTGTGGCGTGATTATATCAAGCAGCGGTGTTGCATCACGGGTCACAGCGCAACGATGCAGGCCTTACTCTCTTTTTTGACTTGTCATAACTGTCTTTTGCATCATTGCAAGTTGAGAGAAATGGCGATGCGAGTGGCGCATAGCATCCCCTCGGCAATTAGTGGTGAAAGCACGCGGGTTTCATCATGACTGCCGTTGGACGCGGAAACAGACCTACGGAGTAATTCATATGGAGAAATATTATTATAAAGTATTTAGTTATTCTGTTTGAGTTCAGTGAACGCTTTGTCTTTGCCTTCCGTCCGTGTCCAGCGATAGGAATACATTTTGCTCGCTCGGGGCGCTCGCGACACTGTTAATGGCGGCCTCGGCGTAAGAGGATTGTGCAAGACCAGAAAATGGGGAGCGGGATTCGGGGGGCGGTCCCGCGGCGGCGAGCGAAGGGATCGCGGGCGGCAGCGGGCCGGTGTTTGCGTAGCGGTCAGGCGAGTGCTGGCTGTGCCTTGATCGATGGGAGGCTTTTCTCTTTTTCGCGAATAGAGTGGAAAGGCTTTAGTTGCAATGGGTTATGGCGTTCGTGAAGATCGTTGCCTTGTGTGCGCGATCCCTGGGCGAGGACAGGGCTAATGGCCGCGGTCCGGCAGCCCAAAGAATCCATGAATGAATTTGCAGTGGAGAAATGACGCGCGGTTTTCTCCGGTGGTCAGTGTGTGATATGGGTCAGGCCGCCACTTATGCAAATGGCGCCGTTGGTCCGGTTTTCCCGCCCCTTTTCGCCACTTTGGCTTTTCTGCGCCCGTAGCACAAGACCCAGATTTGGATGCAGCCGTTTCTTGAACTGAGGGTGCGTCAGCGCTCGGCACATTCGCCCTTGTTCGCCGAGGACAGAAACCTCATTTTGTCATCTCTTTACCTTGATTTTTCTGTTTATTCACCGCCACGTTTTGGGCGGGAAAGGCACTCGGCAATGTAGGCTTACTCTCTGCGATGGACCTTATGCAAGAAGTAAGAATAGCCTATTGTTATCTTGCAGCCTGGGACTGTCACGGGCCGCTGGCAGCCTTGATTCAGATCTTTGATTACAGTTGTTGAGATTTTGTCATCAGTTCTGCCGGCCTCGCTGCTCGCGGCGGCGGAAGGAAGACTCAGCCAGTGCAGATTGCTGCAATGTCTCCCTTTTGTAGGCTTTTTTGTGCCATCAAAAATAGTTTGCATATCGAAGTTGTTGAATATTATCCCTTCCTCCCACTCCTCCTAAAAAATAGGACAGTATTGATGTGAATTTCCGGTCAGCAATATGAAACATGTGCCAGATGTTTTTGCGTGTGATGGTGCCTGATAACGGCTTCCTCCCACGCCTTGTTTGTGCGTGCCGGCGTGCCTGCGGGCGTACGTACACACTGATATTTCTGAATCTTTTGCCCTCCGTATATAATAAACACCTCACTTGTTTCCATGCGCTTGCGCCGTTGTTAGATAAGAGCATTATAAATTGCGTAAATCAGTGTAGCCCGATGGCCGAGCGTCCGTCCCCTCCGGACCACGGCCGAGGTTACAAAAGGCAACCGAGCAGGCCAGGGCGGCGCAACCACAGCCAAAATGCCCGAATGATGCAAGTTTCGGCCGCAATAACGGGCCATCAACAGTATTAACGTTTTGATTGTAAATGTGCTTTGCTTAATATCTATGAGTTGTTATTTTTTCGTACTCTGCTTCAAAGGCCTACGAACCTATCAGTTAATGCATTCGTGTTTATCTGATTAACCGTGAATGGATGTCGAATTCACTTGTGTGCAGTGCTCGGCTGTAATTGGGAGAGTGTGTGAGTTGAATGTATTTGTATGTGGGAGAGAGGAGGGGGAAGAGTGGGAGTGGGAGGGGAGGATATGTGGGAGTGGAAGAGTGGGAGGGGAGAGGATGTGGGAAGTGGAGAGAGAGTGGGAGAGGGAGAGGGAGAGAGTGAGGGAAAATGCGGGTGGGAGAGAATGAGGGTGAGGGAGTGTGTTGAATAGGGAGAGGGAGAAGGAGAGGAACTAGAATAGGAAGAGGAGCATAACAATGAAGAGGGAGAGTGAAAGGGAGAAGAGGTGAGACTGAGTAAGAAGGAGAAATAGAGGGTTAAGGAAAGGGGGAAAGGTGAGGGAGAGGGAGTGGAAGAAAATGAGAAAGACACAGAAAGGAGGAAAGAAAATACAAAAAAAAAAAATCTTCTTACATTATTATGTGTGAAATAAAAAGAAACTAAATTGAACATCACATTATCGATACGACATCATCAAGAGTATATCGCGATAATTATTAACATTATCTTTTATTCATAGCCAGTCGATCAGCGGCCTCCCAGACATTAATTTCCTCGATTTCCCGGAAGTCTTAAAGAATGTACTGATCGGAAAGCCGGTTCTTGGATATTCTTGAAGGAGCTTTGGCTGCAGGAGGAGGGGGGTGTTGGACGCGGAATTTTGATTTTGATATTATTTTGAATTTGATGGTTTGAAGGTCAAAGCGATGACTTATAATTTTTTTTTTTGAATGTAGAAATTTATGATGGATATTATAATAGTGAATGAATGTAATGGCATTGATCATACCAATATTAATGGTGATAATGATAATGTTATAAATGATAATGTTATAATCATGATGATATGGATGATCGTTATGATAGTAATGATAATGATAGTGATAATAGTAATAATGACACTGTTACTACTACTAACTACAACAACAATAATCATAAGAATAGTAATGATGATTATGATAATAAAAGTGAAAATATGATAATGATGCTTATAGGCCCTTATATATTACAAGATATATATATATATATATATATATATATATATATATATATATATATATATATGATACTTCATCTTACTATTTTCTTTTGTAACGAATGATTCTGTTTTTTCGTTCTTTTTTTCTCTCTCTTTCTCTAATCTTCTTAGGCGTCGGAAGGTCTCGCGCTTCATTCTCTTTGTTTCTTACCTTTTTTTCTTGCCTTTGTTATTATTTTTTCTTTCCTTGCCTTTGTTTTTTCTTTTTTCTTGCCTTTGTTTTGTTTTCTTGCCTTTGTTTTTTATCTACTTTTGTTTTAGTTTCGTCTTCTTTTTCGTTCTTCTTCCCTTTGACCTTTTTGTCCCGTGACCTTTATTGAGATCATGGTCAGCCGCGACCGCCCCCTCCTTGGCCATTCTCGGACTTGGTTCATATTTTATTTTCTTGTGTTGTCCACTTCTCCCCTGTTTCTGTTTGTTTGCCTTTCTTTTCTTTTTTTCACTGTCTCTGTGTATCCATTCTCGTCCTCCTTTTTCTTCTTCCCCCGTTTCCTCTACGTCCTGCTCCTCAACTCCTCTTCCTCCTTCCTCTCCACCTCCACCTCTACCTCCCCCTCCTTCACCTCCTCTTCCACCTTCACCTCTACCTCCTCATCCTCTTCCTTCACCTGTATCTCCTCCTCCACCTCCACCTCTACCTCCTCCCCATCCACCTCCACCTCTACCTCCCCCTCCTTCACCTCCTCTTCCACCTTCACCTGTACCTCCTCCTCCTCTTCCTTCACCTGTACCTTCACCTCCTCCTCCTCTTCCTTCACCTGTACCTCCTCCTCCTCTCTACCTCCACCTCTACCTCCTCCTCCACCTCTCCCCTCTCTCTCTCCCCCTCCTCCCCTCCACCTCTTCCCTCTCTACCTCCTCCTCCTCCTCCACCTCCCTCCACCTCCACCTCTTCCCCCACCCTCTTCACCTCCCCCCTCCTCCTGCTCCTCCTTCACCTCTTTCCTCTCTACCTCCTCCTCCTCCTTCTCCTGCTCCTCCTCCTCCCCCCCTCCCCCCTCTCCTCCTCCTCCCTCTTCCCCCTCCCCCTCCACCCCTTCCCTCTTACCTCCCCCTTCCCCCCCTCCTCCTCCTCTTCCCTCCCCTCTCTTACTCCTCCCTCTCTAATTCCCCTCCTCCTCCCTCCTCCTCCTCCTCCTCCTCCTCTCCTCCTCCTCCTCCTCCTCCTCCTCCTCCTCCTCCTCCTCCTCCTCCTCCTTCCCTCCTCTTTTTCCCCTCCCGCGCCAGTGTCTCGCCACAACAGTATTGACGTCCGGTAGTGGGTGCTGTCGCCATCGCTCTATTATTTATACGGGACAAGAAACCGAGATCATCGAGGGCAAAGCGGGGGCAGGAGAAGGAGGAGGAGGGGAGGAGGAGAGGGAATTGGAAGAAGAAGAGAAGAGGAGGATGAGGAGGAGGTGGAAGAGAAGAAGGAGGAGGAGAAGGAGAATGAAGAAGAGGAGGAGGAGGAGGAGGAGGAGGAGGAGGAGGAGAGGAGGAGGAGGAGGAGGAGGAGGAGGAGGGAGGAGGAGATAGAATTAGAGGAGGAGGAAGAAGAAGAAAAGGTGATGGAAGACGAGGAGTAGGAAGGAGGGAGGAGGAGTAGAAAACAGTGATGGTGAAGAAGGTAAAGAAAGTCTGTTTCATCCTCCTTCTACCTCTCCTCCTCTCCTCCTCTTCTCCCTTTTTCTCTCGCCCTGCCCCCCCCCCCCACTTCTGAGTCTTCATCCTCTCCATTTCGGTCCGACCTGACCTAGGCTTCTCAATTTTTAAAGACCCCTCCCCTCCCCCCCTCCCCCTCCCTACCCTCCCTCTTCCCCGCTTCATTGTTTTCCCCGGAGCAAAGTGTTTTTGTTGTTTTGTTAATAGACCCGGAATATTTGAAACTGAAGCGTCTTTACGTTTCTTTTGTCGTGAGTATTGATTTTTTTTCTTTTTCTTTTTTTTGCATATCGCGTGTCGCTGTTGCGTATTGTTTTTTTTTTTCTTCTTTTTCTTTGTCTTTATATTGTTTTCGCGAATAGGAGGAGGAGGAGGAGAGAGAAGAATGGTATTAATTATAGGTAAAAATTCTGATTATAAATATTATGAGAACGTTCTTCTCTATCTACCATGTTGTTATATTAATTTTTTTCTTCTTCTTGGTTTCAGGTGAGTGAGTTGCCTGTTCGTGACAGACGCTTCCATAATTTGTTCCGAGGTTCCCCATTTGCCTCATGGACACACGCACGCACGCACGCACGCACGCCGGTAAGTTACGGCAGCGCCACTCTCGCTTCCCTCGCCGATTGTAAACGACGGGATGTCAAGATGATGGAAGTGGGAATTGGAAGAAGGGAATGTTTGGAATGGGAAAGATAAAGGGGATAGAGAGGGGAGGGGGGAGGGAGGCTGAGGTGGGGAGTGGAAAAGGTGAGAGGGTGAGACACGAAGGGAAAAGAGAGACAGGGGAAAGAGAGGGAGAGGGGAGAGAGAGAGAGAGGGGTCAGAGAGAGAGAATCAGAGAGAGAGAGGGTCAGAGAGAGAGAGTCAGAGAGAGAGAGGGGTCAGAGGAGAGAGAGAGGGTCAGAGAGAGAGAGAGGGTCCAGAGAGGGAGAGTCAGAGAGAGGAGAGGGGTCAGAGAGAGAGAGTCAGAAGAGAGAGAGAGGGGTGTCAGAGAGAGAGAGGGGTCGGTCAGAGAGAGAGAGGGGTTCAGAGAGAGAGAGGGGTCAGAGAGAGAGAGGGGTCAGAGAGAGAGAGGGGTCAGAGAGAGAGAGAGGGGTCAGAGAGAGAGGGGTCAGAGAGAGAGAGGGGTCAGAGAGGAGAGAGGGGTCAGAGAGAGAGAGGGGTCAGAGAGAGAGAGGGGTCAGAGAGAGAGAAGAGGAGAGAGGGTCGGAGAGGGAGAGGGGTCAGAGAGGGAGAGGGGGGAGAGGGAGAGAAGGAGAAGAGGGGAAGAGAGGGAGAGAGGGAGGGGAGGGGAGAGGGGGAAGAGGGAGAGAGGGGAGAGCCGAGAGAGGGGAAGAGCGAGAGAGGGGAAGAGCGAGAGGGGAAGAGGAGAGAGGGAAGGGCGAGAGAGGGGAAGGGCGAGAGAGGGGAAGGGGAGAGAGAGAGAGAGAGAGAGAGAAGAGGAGAGAAGAGAGAGAGAGAGAGAGAGAGGGAGAGGAGGGAGAGGAGAGAGGAGGAGGGAGAGAGGGAGGGAGGGAGAGAGGAGGGAGGAGGGAGGGAGGGGAGGGAGGGAGAGAGGGAGAGAGGGAGAGAGGGAGAAGAGAGAGAGAGAGAGAGAGGAGAGAGAGAGAGAGAGAGAGAGAGAGAGAGAGAGAGAGAGAGAGAGAGAGAGAGAGAGAGAGAGGAGAGAGAGAAAGAAAAAAGAAAGAGAGAGTCCGGAGACAAGAAGATTTTTAGGAAAGAGAGAGAAGGAGAGGGGGAAGTGAACAAGCAAAATGTGGAAAAGAAAGGTAATAGACAAGGGAATAAAAGAGGGTGGAGGAGGATGGTGGGGGCCAGGGAGGGGGGAGAGGAGAAGAAGAGAGTGCACGAAGATTGGGATAAAAAGGCCACAGGACAAGACCGAAAACAAAAAGTTGCGCGGGATAAATACGGTCCCTTGGGAAGTGCGAGGAGAAAGCAAAATGGAAGAAGAGTATGAGGAGGAAGAGGACGAAAAGAGGGAGGGGGGGGGAGAGGGGAGGAGAGGAGGGGGGGGAGATTGGGGGGAGGGAGAGGAGAGGGAGGGGAAGGGAGTGGAGAAGAAGGGGGATGGGATAGAAGAGAGGAGAGGAGAGGAGAGGGAGGTTATGGGAAAGGGATGGAGAGGAAAGAAGAGGAGTGAAGAAGGGGGATGAGAAGAGCGAGGGGATGAGGTGGGGAGGAAAAGGAGGGGAAGGGGGAGGGGTGAGGAAAAAGGAAGCGGCGTGCAGGCTCTTGTCCTCTTTGAAGTGGGCGCCCGGCTGTGTGATGTTTCTGTCTTGGGCTTTGTCTGACGCCATTGCTTTGTTGGTGGAGTCTTGGATCTCTTTTTCTTTCTCTCTTTCCCTCTTTCCCTATTTCTCTCTTTCTCTTTGTCTTTGTCTCTCTCTCTCTCTTTCTTTCTTTCTTTCTCTCTTTTCCTCTTTCCCTCTCTACTTCCTTCCCTCCCTCTATTCCTCTCCCTCTTTCCTTTCCTCCCTCTTTCCCTCTCTCTTCTTTCCTCCTTCATTCTCTTCTTCCCGCCTTCCCTCCTATCTATCAGTATGCCAATCGCCTGCTCCGTCTCTCTGTATTCAAGTGCATGGCATTATGTGGTTTTATTGTCATGACGAGTGACCTTGGGAGCTGCAGTCCCCCCCCCCTCCTTCCCTTCCCCTCTCTCTCTTTCCCTCACCCCCTTCCCCCCCTTCCCTTCCCGTCCTCCCTTTCCCTCCCTTCCCCTCTCTCTTTTATTCCCCCTCCCTCGAGTTACTGTTATTGTTAGAGGCAGAGGGGGAGAGGAGGAGGAGGAGGAGGAGGAGGAGGAGGAGGAGGAGGAGGAGGAGGAGGAGGAGGAGGAGGAAGAAGAAGAAGAAGAAGAAGAAGAAGAAGAAGAAGAAGAAGAAGAAGAAGAAGAAGAAGAAGAAGAAGAAGAAGAAGAAGAAGAAGGAGAAGAGGAAGAAGGAGAAGAAGAAGAAGAAAGAGAAGGAGAAGGAGAAGGAGAAGAAGGGGGAGAATGAGGATGAGGAAAGGGAAGAGAGGAGAGGGAGGACGAAAAGGAGAAGGAGAGGGGAAAGGGAGAGAGAGAGATAGGACGCGGTAAAGCTTGATGTAGAAGAAAAGAAGGAATGAAGGAGAGATGTAGAAGAGAGAAAATGAAATAATAGGGGTATAGAAAGAAGAGACGACAGAAAAAGAGAAAGAAAGAAAAAAGAAATGAAGAACAAGAAAGACAGAACCGCAAAGAGAAGTGGAAATAAAGGTGGAAGATAACGGCTTTTCACTTTTTTGTTTTTTGTTATGATAGGATTTTTTTTTCTTTTGTTTTGATACCATTGTTTTTTTTCACATCCGTTACACATGCCTTTACTTTTATGCTTTTGATAAAACGATATTTTTTATTCATATAGAATAAAATTAATTCCCCGGATAATAGGCTCAAGTTGAACTGAAAATTAATTACCAAGAACTGTCTGAAATGCAATTAATTTGGCGGAAAAAATGGCCCATTTTTTCTTATTGATTCAACTAAGTGATCAGTGTAGATGGAATTAATAAGCTTGATTTTTTTTTTCGTTCGGATTACCGTTTTGAACAATTGGTGATGACTTCATTTTGTTCACGGGGGAGGGAGAGGGAGGAGGGGGGGAGAGGGAGAGGGAGGGAGGGAGGGAGAGGGGGAGAGGGAGGGGGAAGGGGGAATGGAAGGAGGAGAGGAGGAGGAGAGGGAGAGGGAGAGGAGAGGAAGAGAGAGAGAGGGAAGGGGATGGGTAGAAGGAGAGGGAAAGGAGAAGGAAAAAAGAGGAGAAAAAGAGGGAGAGGAAGAGGAAGGGGGAGGAGGAGGACGACGACGACGAGTCTGTAAAAGACAAGAAGAAAAGGGAGGGAGAGGGAGGGGTAAAGAAAGAAAGAGAGAAAAAAATAGATAGATAGAAAAAATAGAGAGAGGGGACAGATAGAGATGGAAGGAGGGAAAAGGGACAGAGACAAAGGCAGAAAAAAAACTTCCACCATTTCTCACAGTAGTATTACCAAAACGAGATATTTTTCGTCGTCATTTTATAACGGCAGTTGACAGGAATCCCCGCTGGTGTTGACAGAATGTGAATTGACAACTTGAACGATAATGCTGTTGTTGGCATAGCATAACCTCATGGTGTGGCAACATGAGCACCTCATAGTTTCCCATAACATAACTTCATGATATGGCAACATGAATACCATAGTTTCTCATAACATAACTTCATGATGTGGCAACAGGAACACCTCGTAGTTCCTCATAACATAACCTCACGCTGAGGCAACATGAACACCTCATAACTATAGAACTTCGCAGAGCTCCAATTCGCTAATAAACATGAGGTAAAAAAATGGCTAAACAAAGAATAGTCAGCCTGTGATGCGGAGAGTACAAAAGAATAGCGAGTGTTCTTTGCACTAATTACAAACAAACAAAGGCGGACGAGTTGATGGAAAGTAGGGTGGGGTGGAAGGGGGGTGGGTAGGGTAATTTTTTATTGGTAGAGAGAGAGGAAGAGTGAAGGATGAGAAACAAGCATACAAACAAAGAAGGAAGAACGGGAAAGGGGGAGAGAAACAGACACCGATAGGTAGGCATGCAGACAGGCAAGAAGACTGACTGACTTACTCATTCACTTACTACTTACTTTGCAAGCACAGGCACAATACAGAGGGCAGACAGCAACAGACAGAACAGACAGAGAGGCAGACAGACAGACAGACAGACAGACAGACAGACAGAGACAGACAGAGCAGCAGACAGACAACAGACAGAAGACAGAGACAGGCGAGACGAAACACAAGCCGAGCCGAAAGAAGGCGGTTTGGGCGGAGACAGCTGCGGGTGCCAGGGGGAGGGGGGGGGGCGTCGCACCTCAGGATTTCGTAACTGATTAAATGATATCAAATTCATGACCGGTGGACGTTTATCGCGAAGAAGGAGGACGAAGAAGAATAGAAATAATAACAGTGTATGAGGCACAGCAATAACAGTTACTGGTCGCCAACACGGAGGCAGGGGTAGAGGGGAAGGGACGGGGAAGGGTGGCAGGAACGGGGAGAAAGGAGAAAGGGGAGGAAGGGAAAGGAAAAGGAGAGAAGGAGGGAGGGAAAAGAGAGAGGGAGGGAAGACAGCGAGGAAAGGGAAAGGGAGAGAAGGAGGGAGAACAGTGAGGAAAGGAAGAAAGGGAAAGAGGAAGGAGAATTATTATAAATGTATTCATTTATTTATTTATTCGATATAAGGAAAACTTGAGACGGCACAGGGGAAGAAAAGTGGAAGAGGTACAAAGAGAAGACGAGAAGAAAGAAGGGAAAGGTCGCTCAGAAGATCACGTAACTAGAGTTTGTCTCATTGATATCAGCCTTTGAAGGGAGGAAGGGAGGGAGGGAGGGAGGGGGAGGAGTTGGAAGGGAGCGATGGAGGAGGGAAGGAGGAAGGAGATGGAAGAGAGCGAGGAGGGAGGGAAGGAGGAGTTAGAAGGGAGGAGGAGTTGGAAGGGAGCGATGGAGGAAGGAGGAAGGGAGATGAAGAGAGCGAGGGAGGGAAAGGGAGGAGGAAGGGAGGGAGGTAGGAGTTGGAAGAGAGCGAGGGAGGAGGAAAATGAAGGAAGGAGGAAAGAAGGGAGGAGGAGGGAGTTGGAAGAGAACAAACGAACAAAACAAATGAAAATAGGAAAGGAAAGGGAAATCGAATATATAGAAT